AAAAAATTAAAAACGGATAATGAGTACGGGAAGAGCTAATCACACCAAGACAGACTGAAAAGTGTTTAATTAGAAATGTAAGTCTATATAGATAATTAGATTATAATTAGAACACTTGGAATTAAGGAGAAATTTCCTGACAGTGAGGACAATCAACCAGTGGAACAGCTTACCCCCAGAAACCGTGGGCAATCCATCACTGGAGATTTTTAAGAAGAGACTAGACAATCACCTGTCTGAGATGGTATAGGTTCTCCTGCTTGAGCAGGGGGCTGGACTAGAAGATCTCCAAGGTCCCTTCCAGCTCTATTCTATTCTAATCTATTCTAAAGATGTTTTGGGCCAAAGAGTTCTACAGTCTAGTGCATCCAAAAACAAGAAGAAAGGAAAGAAAGAAAGAAAGAAAGAAAGAAAGAAGAAAGAGAAAAAGAGAAACAAACAAAGAAAGAAAGAAAGAAAGAAAGAAAGAAAGAAAGAGAAAGGAAGGAAGGAAGACACTTTTTTTACCAACTCTCCTCCTTTTGTTTAAGTTTCTAATTTATTTCTTTTAAAATATTTTAATACATCTCTGGTTTTGTCTAGGTTTGTGCGACTCTTGGAACAACTGGTGTGTGCGCTTTTGACAGCCTTTCAGAACTAGGTCCAATATGTAAGTAGTTATACACCACTTACTTAAAAGGTCTTTCCTGGAAAATCCATTTGTTGTCTTAAGTCGGCTTCTCCTCCAAGTATTCTCAGATCTCTGATCTCGCAGGGCAGATCAGGAAAGTGGAAGATAAAATGTTTCGGGATCTTTCAGAGGGATTTCTCAGTGCAGCTCCTTCATTCAGCAATCCTGGAGGAAGGAACCCCTTGCTTAGATACTGTAGATCAGGGTGGGCAACTATGACAACTTTATGACTTGTGGACTTCAACTCCCAGAATTCCACCTGTCCATCGTTTTGGTTATCATATGGATGTATTCTCACTGTGTTCATTTTCGCTGTTTATTTTATTGCTCTATTATCGTGCTTCTGTTCTGTTTACACTTTTTCCATGTTCTTGCTTTCTGTTGTTGTAAGCTGTCTAGAGTAGCCTCACAGTGAGACAGGCAGGAAATAAATTTAACAAACCAATCAATAAATGTAATGTACTTTGGGGTTTTGTATGGGATCAACCACCCAATAATATGGAACTTTTTCACATGGATTTCTCTCCAGGTGCTAAGGAAAATCTTTGGCTTCACGTTGATGCTGCCTATGCTGGGACAGCTTTTCTGTGTCCAGAATACAGATCTTTTCTCGAGGGAATTGAATATGCTGATTCTTTTACCTTCAATCCTTCCAAATGGATGATGGTTCACTTTGATTGCACCGCATTCTGGTGAGGGCCCAAACTTTCTCCATCCCTTTTCTGCCTGACCTTTCTCAATCTGTGGACTTCTTCCCAATCAGCTTGTCTTGTTTTCTGTTCATCTTTTAAAAGGGTTAAAGATAAATTCAAGCTCCAGCAAACTTTCAGTGTCAACCCTCTCTACCTCAGACATCCAAATTCTGGATCAGCAACTGATTTCATGGTGAGAACATTCAGCTTATCCTTAGGCAGGAATTGGGCACAGAAATCATTCCCCCCCCCCTCCAGCAATGAAGGGAATCAGAATGGGATTCAGAAGAGAATGGAATTTATGAAGTAGACTTGTGGCATTTTTCTAGCTCACCTTCCCCCTTGAGAAATGGCCAGCTGGCTTATTTTACTATTCAAAATAATCTGTGGATTTGTTATTGTACGAGATTCAAACTGAAAGGGGGTGGCTGTACAAAACACACAGAGTCCAATTGTCAAGTTGAAAGGGATACAGTAGAAATTAGCAGATGCCTAAAGCAGGTCAAGTTTCATGCTTAATGTTTAATGCTTTCAATTAATATGTGATTTTAACAAAACCCTTCACCAGCTTTGCGGTTATTTCATACCAGATGGTTCAGAACTGTCGCTAAATGATAAGGTAGTTAGTTTACTTGTGTGTTGAATTATTATGCAGTTAGGCAATTGTGGTTCATTAAATAAACCGTGGTTGAACAAACCATGATTGGGATCAGCCTGTGAACCTTGCCATACAGTCCTTCAAGTCAACAATAAATTCCACTCAGTTGCCCACCTCTTTCCTTTCATCTGACCCATTTAACAGAACAGCAGAATTGGAAGGGACCTTAAAAGTCTTCCAGTCCAACCCACTGCTCAAGTAGGAAACCCTGTACCATTTTTTTTATTATTAAACCTAACAACATATAATTATTAGAAGAAGCGTATTATGTTTTTCTTTACAGCACTGGCAAATCCCGCTGAGCCGAAGGTTCCGCTCTCTAAAACTTTGGTTTGTGATTCGCTCGTTCGGTGTGAAAAAGCTTCAGGAGCATGTCAGACACGTAGGTGAATTAGAAGAATAAACATAAATCTTGCTGATGCCCTCAATAGTAAACTGGGTTCTACCGCACAACAAGAGATTTAGGCAAAGGATGTTTGAGGATCAACTTTGATCAGAGCAGTTGGTGGACCAGTCTTTGATCTGTCTAATCCTGCTGAATTTTGAGGTTGGATTAGGCAAAAATCACTGGACATTACCTTTAGATGGGAGAGACTCTAGCTGTAAGATAAGCTCTAAGGCAGTGGTGGCGAACCTATGGCACGCATGCCAGAGGCGACACTCAGAGCCCTCTCTGTGGGCACATGTGCCGTCGCCCCAGCCCTGCCTCCCCCCCGCAGCCCCCTCACCAGCAGCCCCCTCCGGAGAGTCGCCCCTGAGCATGGCCCGCGTGGAGCAGCGCAGCCAAGGATATGGCAGCCAGGCAGCGGGGACAAGACTCCATCCTCGTGCCTTGTTGCGTGCAGTTGATGCTGCAGGGCATGGGTGGAGGGCATGGCCATGGCACTGCTGGGCCACCTGGGCAATCTGGAAGTGGTGAGTGGCCCTGCGGGCGGGCGGGGCTGGGGGCAGGGTGGGGGCAGAGTGGGGCAGGCAGGGCGGGGACAGTTTTTGGGCACTTGGTCTCTAAAAGGTTCGCCATCACTGCTCTAAGGGGAAACTTAAAGTTCTACAAAATTTGGAGCAATCTGCTCAACCCTGTTTGCTCTCCTTCAATTACATGCAGCCCTAGACCGTTCAAAGATTGTCATCATAGCTGTGCTATTGGGAATAATTATTGCCTTTGTCTTTGAAAACCCCAGGGCACTGAAATGGCCAAATATTTTGAGTCCCTGCTCAGAAGCGACCCCTTGTTTGAAATCCCTGCGAAGAGGCATCTGGGACTAGTTGTTTTTCGTCTAAAGGTGACATTTTCCTATCATATTTTACGATAACTTACACCATTCCCTCGTAATGGGCTTCCCTCTCTGCGCATTGGACTTCAATCCCCATCATTCTCCTCCAGCATGCTAGTGGGGAATGATGGGCACTGAATTCCAGCTCATCAGAATGGCATCAAGTTGAGAGTTGGCTTATGTGCTTGGAAACTGCGAGGAATAAGTACAGAGAAAAATGGCCGTTGCCTGAAATCTGGACAGCTGGACTGTCACACTTGGTTCAAGGCTGAAATGGGAGGAAAACAGACAAGTTTAGTAAACTATGGGCAGATGCAATGAAACATATACAGTAATTGCAAACTAGAAATGGGCTAATCTCAGTGTTTTTTCAGCTCTGATATTTGCTCATAGGTCAGTATTAGTTTATCAAATATGAGGGGTTTTTTTTAAATTAAAAAACCCATTAAATTAGTATCATGTTTGGTTAACAATATCTTTGCAAATTTCAGTGTCATGTGCTTTTTGATTTGGCTTTCAGGCCTAGATTTTGATTTTACTTCTTGTCTGAGGGAAACAGATGTTTTAAGATTCTTTTCTTCACCCCCCCCCCAGAGTAATTTGACTGGAGCGGTACATCAGTGTTGGGATTAAAAAAGCTAAATATTTTGTGTGTGTGCCTTTCCCTAATACATACCTTTTTTAAAAGGCATGATTGGAAAACTGAATGGCAGAATTTGGGGAACTGGGAATTTTGGAAAGATTTGTTGAGATGTTGGGTCTAAAAAGGGCAAAATTATAACAGTTTGCATTGAAATGTGATCAGGCCCATTTTGACCCTGAAGCTTAACTCGATGGTTGATGGACATTTTGACCTTAGCAAGGGAAAAGAGAACTTCCCCTAACCATCGATGTTTGATTGGAATGACGGTGAAAACGGCAAGAAAGCAAAGCAGGATGAGTAATGTCTGTCAGCGGTACGTGCGTTTGTATCTTTGAAAGTTTCTTTCTCGATGGCTGTCATGAAAAGCTCCGTCTTTTACAAACAGGGCCCCAACTGGATGACCGAGAAGCTCTTAAAAGACCTGAACAGATCAGGAAAGCTGTTTGTCATCCCGGCATCAGTTCAGGAGAAGTTGATCATTCGCTTCTCTGTAACTTCTCAGTTCACCACTCGTGAGGATATTCAACAAGACTGGGCCCTCATCCAACGGACTGCGGTGAACGTCTCCAATCAATCTCTCCTCATCCTGGAGGAGAAGGCCCAAATCCCCAGGCAATTAATCAGCTCCAGTTCAAAAGCAGCGGGTGCCCCTCTTCCTATTTTCACAGAGAAAGAAAAAGGCAACATTTTCCCTTTCAGCAGGATAACTACCCAGCCTCGGAGAGGGTCCCTCAACTCTTCTTTGTCACTGTTGAACGAATACATCCCAATGGCCAAAGAGCCTCATTTGCACGAGTGCTTGACAGAAAATGGCCGACGTCTGACCAGCTGTGACTTGCCTTCTGTCCTGAGTTTATCAGCTCAAAACAAGAAAAAAACGGTCCGTTCCTTCAGCTTGGACAGCCCTGTGGAGAACAGACCTTGTGCTGGCAAGAAATTCCTTTCCAGGTTGCCCAAAGATCTCCTGATGATCAAGAAAGAAGATCTGAAGAAACCGCCCCAGTTTTACCACATGCCTAGTTTTCCGGAATGCTCCATTCAGTGCGGTCTCCAGTTGCCATGTTGTCCTCTTCAGACTATTATCTAGCTCTTCAGAGCTTCTTTCCTCCACAGAAGGACAACCAAAGTCTGATTATTTTTATGCAATGTAATAACTTATGGCCCAGAAATAACATAATTGCAGATCTTATTTTTTTTAAAAAAAGAGCCTGTATACCGAGCAAGTTCATAACGTAAATAAAATATTTAATCTTGGCATCTAGAGTTTCAGTTTTCATTTCAGACGGTCATTTTCTCGTATTGATTTGATCCACACTATACGTTGAGACATGTTTTTATTGAATAACTTCCTCTTAGTCGAATTCAAGCTAAGCCACAAATCACGGCAAATACGAACATTCAACAGATACTACCCATTGTCTTCCTTTGAGTGAGACATGTAATCAGTTTGGAATAACTATTAATAATTACCCTCAACAGGGGTGTCCAAAGAGTGTGGTTAAAAAAATGAAGACGGTAACCATGACAGCGCAAATGAAAAACATAAAAAATAGGCACTTTGATTGTACCACCATCACCATCCTAATATTTTTTTTAATCATACCCTGCAGACATCCCAAGATTATTCTAGAAAAAGGGATGGAAACAACAAGAGATGTTCAAGCATAATAGACACTGCAAAGATTAATGAGATGGAAGAGTGTTGATTAAACTACTTATGGTCTCACTGGCATAATAAAAATGGGCAGAACATTTTTATAGGACCATCTCGGAGGAAGTTGAGATTAGAGGTGCATCCAGAGTGACTTTTGAGTAATATACAAAGTGCTTCTCTTTCTGACTTACAGAGAGATCTTCAGCTTACACAGCAAGTAAACAGTCATTCTGTCATGGTAGAGGATGCATGGATGTGGTGAGTTAAGAAGTTGGCAAACATGATGTGTTTCAGAAGTAGAAGAAGACTTAATATTGAAAAAGGGCTCCCTACTTCCAAGATAATAAGATGGAGGAATGTTTGAGGATTGCTCATAGTATCTGCTACAACAGTCATGTTACGTAGTTGGTCCACTCAGCAATTACCTTGAGGGATGGGAACATCCTCTTCTTGCACATGATCAGAAATGTTTAGGGGACTAGAGGCTAAAACATATGAAGAATGTTTACAGGAACTGGGCATGGCTAGTCTAGTGAAGAGAATGACCAGGGGAGGCATGATAGCAGTCTTCCAATATTTGAGGGGCTGTCACAGAGAGGAGGGGGTCAACCTATTCTCCAAAGCACCTGAAGGCCAGACAAGGAATAATGGGTGGAAACTGATCAAGGAGAGATTCAACCTGGAAATAAGGAGAAATTTTCTGACAGTGAGAACAATCAACCAGTGGAACAGAAGTTGCCTTCAGAAGTTGTGGGAGTTTCATCACTGGAAGCTTTCAAGAAGAGACTGGACTGCCTTCTGTAGGAAATGGTGTAGGGTCTCCTGCTTGGGTGGGGTTTGGACTAGATGATCTACAAGGTCCCTTCCAACTCTGCTATTCTATTCTATTCTATTCTATTCTATTCTATTCTATTCTATTCTATTCTATTCTATTCTATTCTACTCTACTCTACTCTACTCTACTCTACTCTACTCTACTCTACTCTACTCTATTCTATTCTATTCTATTCTATTCTCTACTCTACCCTACCCTACCCTACCCTACCCAACCCTACCCTACCCTACCCTATTCTATTCTATTCAAATGGGAACCATTCCGACAGCTCCCAGTCTATAGTTACACAAGCTATTAACTTTTAAAGATTCCAAAACATGGAGAATATAATATTAGCAGATCAGTCTGGAGGTGGATGAAGAGCTTTCTTCCAAAGTCATCAGCACTATCTCTAAAATATTGACAAAATAAGTAAGGCATGGCTATTTCAAAATCTAGGCATAAATGTGCAATTGGACTGAAAATCAATTTTCCATCACTTTCTAAAATTATTGAACAATATACTTTTTTTTAAAAAAAAGTAACAATTTCAGGAGCACTATAGTTTCCATCTGTTGCTACATATTGAGTTATAGATGTCTTCTGTCAAGGGTATGTAGGTCTTCTCTTTATCATCCAAAAAATATAAGGCGTCCTTGACAACTGCTGGATTGAATCCTTCTTCTGCTAACTGTATTTTCCGGTATTTAAATGTTCCCGTGATCTCAATAGCATCCTATTAAAACAAGAAGAAACAGCACAGCAACGATAAGTTGTGTAATGACTCTATTCTTCCTTTCTAAACATAAGGATTTTTGTTTCCCCTTTATGCAACTAATCAAATAATAACCCATCATTAGAGAATAATCCCAAGGCCAATGAAAGGCTATTCTTGACATCTGGAAAGGATTTTTGAGATGGACCTTCAGAAGTCTTCTTGAAGATTATTATTATTTGTATACTGTAAATATAAAAATGCCTATATCTCATCATTTATAGATTGAAAATATTAAGAATTATATTTTGGTTAAGGTTGAAGAAGGATAATATAAATGGGAGAAAGGAAGATCAAAGAAATGTATCATTAATTAATATACTAATTATGGAATTATCAAACTTAATCATTATAGATTGTTAATTAATTATTATTGTCTTTTTTTTCTTGTTAAAATATAAACCAAGACAACACGTTGTACACCAGGCACTGGAGATTGTTATTGTTAAAAACCAATAAAGTATGTATGTATATATATATAAAAAGAAGTCTCCTTGAAGGTGGCATCCTTCAGAGATGCTGGAAGTTGAACTATCTAGGACAGCGTTTCTCATTCTCAGCAACTTCAAGATGTGTGGATTTCAACTCCCAGAATTCCCCAGCCAGCATGCTAGCTGGAGAATTCTGGAAGTTGAAGTCCATACATCTTAAAGTTGCTGAGGTTGAGAAAGACTGATCTAGCCTGGGTGCTGGGAATTCAGAGAATTGACCCCTGCAGGACATCAGGAGAAGAAGCCTTTGGGAATCATTGGCCAGCAGTGATTAGCTGTTGTAAACTTTGAATGGTCACCCAATGAATGATTATAAGTTGAGGACCCCCTGTATTACAACACAATGGGAGAGACACAAGTTCTGAGATCTTTCAAACAAGGGAACACAGCATCCTCCATGAAAATTGTGGTTCTTGTTCTCTTCTAATACAAAGACCGCCACTTTCTATCCAATTGTGAGATGGGTATGGATGGAAGATCACCTACCTGGATCCTCACGAAATACGGTCTTGCATAAAGTGGCAAGTAATCTGTTGCATGCTTGTAGAGAATTTCTCCACCAAAATCACAACTTTCTGCTAGTCGTAGGGATGCCATGCCTATCCGGCCTTCGTGACCTGCAGGAGAATTACCCTTAATATTGACTTCTCTCAACTGTTTCCCACTCAGTTTATGAAACCCATTTTTTTGATATTTGTATTAACTATAATGGTTACTGGCCGGTAACTTAACATTAAAAGACCTGGTTATAAGGATGGATCAAATAAAAAAAAAAATCCTTCTGAAGAGATTAAATCATTCACTGCACTAAGTAGTTTTTCAATTTAGAGTACATGGTATGTTTACATCCCTGTTAAATGTAGCTGGGTACACTTATAGCGCTCTTAGGAATGGAAAATAAATTTTTCAAAATCGAAGAGGAAAATTTAGGCAAATGGACCAGAAAAGTCAAGATACCATCCATAATGATGCAATTGAAATTCTGCCTGATCCTTCCTTCCTCATTTCCTTCCTTCCGTCCCTCATTTCCTTCCTTCTTTCCTCATTTCCTTCCTTTCTTCCCTCCATCATCTCCTTCTTTCCTTCCTTGCTTCCTCATCTCCTTCCTTCCCTCCCTCATCTCCTTCCTTCCTACTTTCCTTCCTTCCCTCCCTTCCCTCCTTTTTCCTTCCTTCCTTCCTTCCTTCCTTCCTTCCTTCCTCATCTCCTTCCTTCCCTCCCTC